AAGGAAGGAAGGAAGAAAGAAAGGAAGTGGAAAGATGGCTCAAGGATTAAGAGCCCTTGCTGCTCTTGCAGAGGACCAGCTTGGTTCCCAACACCCACAGGACAGCTTACAATCATTTCTAACTCCAGTTCCAGGGGACTCAACACTTTTTTCTGGCCTCTATGGGCAGCAAGCACAAACATGTTTGCATATACAAACATACATACATGCTTGCAAACATTCATACACATAAAACAAACAAGCAAAACAAACACTAATTGCAAAGTTGGAGATGGCTTATATATGCTTTTCAAAATAATATCACTCTGGCTTTACAGGCCTTGGGAGAGTTGGGAATAAGGGGTCAGTGAGATGACTCAGCAGGTATATTTGCTTGCCACCAAGGTTGATAACCTGAATTTAATTCTTGTGACCCATATGGTGGAAAAAAGAGGACCAACTCCCAAAGATTGTCCTCCGACCTCCACATGTATATAAGTGCTTTGGTAAAACAATGGTGGACTCTGGGTGGGGGTAATGGAGGATGGGGGGATGGTGATTGGACACCCTCGAGTGGAAAATAAAGAAAGGGGAACTACTGTCACTCTGAGAAATTTCTAAATGGCAGATCTTTCAGCTCTAGGAGAAGAAAATGCAAATAGGGCCAAAGAAGAGAAATGAGTACTCCTTTTGTCCTGAGTGGATATTCTCAGTGATGCCCTACTTAAAAACATTACATTTTTTCTTTATTGTGTGCATGCTATTTATTTATTTATTTATTTATTTATTGTGTGGAGTGGGTGATTTTATTTGATTTTATTATTCTCATTCTCTCTTTGTTTCTCTCATGCCACAGCACCCATGCAGAGGTCAAAGAACAACTCTGAGGATTTGGTCCTCTTCTTTCACCTTTTTGTGGCTTCTGGGGACTGGACTCAGGTTGCCAGGTTTGTGTGGCAAGTACATTTCTCTGCTGAGCCATCTCGCTGGCTTCAACAGGACCTATTCTTCTATCTGGTAAACTGTGTTATACACAGCATAAGGAACATTGCTTGCCTCTTAGTAGTGTTCAAGAAATACTTGTTAAACAGGGTGTGGTGGTGCAAACCAGTAATCCTAGTGCTTGGGGGATGGAGGCAGAAGGCTCAGGAGTTCAAGGACGTTCTTATAAAATGAGTTAGAGACCAAACTGGGCCATAGGAAACTCAAACCACTCCCTTCCCCGCCAAAAGAAAGACTTGTTGACTGGTAGTGAATTGGCCTTGGAAACTCAGATGGGAAAGGTGTACTGTTATGATCAAGGTCACAAATAGCTGATTGATGGTGGAGCTGATACCTAAAACCAATTTTGATTATTTTTCAGCCTGTCCAATTTAGGAGGCAGATCCTAGAGAAAGGAGTGTTTCCCATTTTCCAATTCACTTCCTCCATCACTAAAATTATTAAATGACATCACTAAATTACTAAACTTGTCTAGACTTATTTCCTTCATTGGTCATGAGAAAGGCTAAGGGTCTTCCCGAGTCCTGTAACTCTAAGTTTCATGACAACTAATGAATGAACAAGGTCCCTCACAGCCCACAGCCTACCACCTGTGCTCTTGAAGTGTGGTCAGCAGATCATCACTGTCAGAATCACCTGGGTGGGGGAAGCTAGAAATACGCCAAGTCTTGGAGTTTTAAAAAAAGAATGATCTAGATATATGGATGATTTGGAAGGATTTCTGTTAGGCCATACTTCTGAGCCCCTTCCCCCTCTAACATGACAGTACATAAAGAAAGTGAAGAAAACCTAGGCTGTCTCCTTGACAATACACATCTTGCTTAGAAACCTGGTGCGTGTACCAGTGAGGAAAACAAGGTGGATTAAAATAGGTTTAAAGAGAATTCTGGCCAGGCATTGGTGGTGCATACCTTTAATCTCAGCACTCGGGAGGCAGAAGCAGGCGAATCTCTGTGAGTTCGAGGCCAGCCTAGTCTCCAGAGCGAGTGCCAGGATAGGCTCCAAAGCCACACAGAGAAACCCTGTCTGGAAAAAACGAGAGAGAGAGAGAGAGAGAGAGAGAGAGAGAGAGAGAGAGAGAATTCCGGCATTAGGAAAAAGTCCAGAGATCTACAAGGTTGACCCCAACTAAGAATCTAAGCAATAGTTGAGAGGCTACCTTAAATGCCCTTCTCCGGATGAGATTGATGACTACCTTATATGCCATCCTAGAGCCTTCATCCAGTAGCTAATGGAAGCAGAGGCAGAGACCCATAGCTCAACACTGAGCTGAACTCTGGAATCCAGTTGCAGAGAGGGAGGAGTGATGAGCAAAGGGGTCAGAACCAGACTGGAGAAACCCACAGGGACAGCTGACCTGAACAAGGGATTGCTCATGGACCCCAGATTGACAGCTGGGAAACCAGCATAGGACTGTTCCAGACCCCCCTTCTTCCCCCCAATGAGGAGGTCAGTTTGGAGGTCTGGACAATCTATGGGGCCACTGGTAGTGGATCAGTATTTACCCCTAGTACACAAATGGACTTTGGGAGCCCTCTCTACATAGAGAGATACTTTCTCAGCCTAGACACACAGGGGAGGGTCTAGGCCCTGTTCCAAATGATATGACAGACTTTGAAGATCCCCTGTGGAGGGCCTCACCCTCCCTGGGGAAGCAGAAAGGGAATGGGATGGGGGTCAGTGGGGGGAGGCAGAGGAGGAGGGGAGGGAGAGGGAACTGGGATTGACATGTAAAAGAAGCTTGTTTCTAATAAAAAAAAAAGAAAAAATATGGGTATTACCATTTCCACAGTCAAGACAGCATGAGACTATGTATGTGTTGTAGAATATTAATTTAAGGTGTGTTACTTTTGTTTATTTTCTGCAACTTTTGTTTAATGATGCAAAGAGGTATTTGATTAAATAAAAATCACCTGAGGTCAGGAGGCTGGGTCAGCAACTTGCTGACAGGAAGTGGTAAGGAGGAGGCAGGTGGAGAAGAGTTTATAAGGAGGGGTGAGACTGAGCACCAGGACTTCTTGGGAGACTTGAGGAGGTGAGCTGGGTGAGCTTTGTACTATTCAGCCTCTCTGGGAAGCAGGATTCTACCTCAACCTTTGAATTGTGAGTTCTTTAGCTGGAGGGAGGTTTAAATAAGTTTCCATAGTAGCTTTGAAAGAGTTGGTTCCAGAGGGAATAGAATTCCCTCAGGCTTTAGCTCTTGTGGCCTAGCTACTGCATCCGGAACTGCAGTTGCTGAATAGGGTAGCCATAGTATAAAACGCCAAAACAAATAAAGAAAAAAGACAGTATGTTTGCAGGATTATGTCAAAGGCATAACATTTGAATATAGATAATACTATTATAAGAATATTGAGAATACAAGGTTATTAAAAGAAGATATACATTTTTTTAAATTAAAAAAAGAAAAAAAACAAAGAGCAAGCCCAATCCATGTGAGAGCTTGCTTTATTGATCAGTCTGACATAACATCTGGAAGGAGGGCTATGAGCGGGATTGTCGAGATTAGTGTGGCCTGTGGACACGCTGTGCAGAAGTGGCTTGGTTATGCATGGGTGTGGGAAGCTCCCAGCCCACAGTGAGCAACATGGCTCCCTGCATTTGAGTCACTAGCTACTTCAAGTTCCTGCCTTGACTTCCAGGAAATAATAGACTATAACTTGAAAATGTGAGCCAAATAACCCCCTTTTCCATTAAGATCGCTTTTGCCAAGGTATTTTTTTTTATCACAGTATTAGGAAACAAAATTATAACCCCCATATTAATGTTATGAACATGTTTTAGGCATTTAGATACAATAACATTTATATAAAGGCATTTAAAAATTTTTGAAAGCTCAGATGCAGGGCCCCTACCTGAGGACATTTAGGAGTAAAATCTTGGGGATAGCTCTGCAGATGTGGTGACTGCCTAGGTATTCCAAAGGACTGTGGCAGTGAAATCTTAGACTTTTGTACAGAGTACATCTTCAGCTAAAAAGAGCACCGTTGGAAATTTCCATCCTGCAGCGAATGCTCAGCCAATCCTATTGCCTTGGAATATAGAAGATAAGTATAATAGATATGGAATATTTGAGTCATCTGGGGGACAGATGGAAGGATCCAGGGCCCAAACAATGGGAATCAGCTGCAGTAGTAGGGTCAGGTTCAGGAGAGGCCAGGCAAGCCACAGAACAGGGGACTTGCAATCTACACACATCCATCCAGTAGTTGTTTGGCTCTGAAGACATGCAAGACAGGTTTTACATGGTATTTCATGTTTATTCTTTAGCCTTTAACGCAGCAGCACAAAGTATCGAAATTGAGCTTGGATTTCAACAGGTGTTGAACACTGAGTCAGGAACCAGGTACGGGGTAGCCGTTGAGGATCTGACGCCCCCCCCCCAATCTAGAGTCTTACCACCTTGTAATCACTGTTGGGTGCCTACTTGCTAACTTGGTACTGTTAGTTGGCTGCCTAGAACCCACTGCTTTGTCATCCCAACCTTGATTCTACCAGACTACAGCAAGGAAGGGTGTGTGTGAGTGTGCACGCGCACGTTTTCATATTGAGGAAACCTTATCATTGTGCAAGGCTCTCAAAAAGCTATGGATAATTAATCTAGAGTCTCCCAGTTCAATAAAAAGAATTCTGGGTACTCATAGCTTCGTCCATGCGCCATTCTGTTAAGAGTGGAAGGAAGGTTAGAGTTGGGAAAGCCATGCCCTCTCAACAAGTTCCGGGGTGGTGCAATGACTGATAAAATATGTCAGTCATTTACAAGTACAGTTTTCGATAGTCATTCCCGGCACCGGGAAGAAAACAGACAAAAACGAAGAGGTGTGTATTCTGCATCCAAATGCCTGAAAATAAAAGTCGACAATTTCTCTCCCACTATTATTAACTCGAGGGCCTTGATTGCTAGACTCTGCCACCTGCTCCGCCTCCGAACGCCCCCAGCGATTCCGAGTAGGGAGGGAGGATTGGAGGCAGGGGCTGGGCGGAGCACTGAATCTTGCTTTTCTTGGAGCAAGTCCGGATCCTCGGCGCGAAGCCACTCTCCGTGACTTCGCAGTAACCTAAGACTGGAGGGACCGGCTGGGCGTCCCAGGTGGGGGCCAGGGTGTTTTAAATTGCTTTAGGACCCCCCTCCCGGCTCTTGGGAGGCTGTAATCTTTGGCACCTGCGGCGGATGATTTTCCACCTCTGCTACTCCCAGTCCAGGTGTTGCCTTCCCCACCTACCACGTGCGACCTGCGCGCACCATCCCCCTCCTCCACAGAACTCGTCCCCTTCCCCAAGCCGCGCTAGGTGCTCCCAGGGACTCCGGGCCTGTAACCTGCCCTCTGCCTGCGCTCGCTCTTTGGTCGGAGGCAGAGCCCGGAGCGCAGATCCAGGC